CTCCCTGTGGACCAGAGGCATCCCTTCTCGTGCGCTGTCTCTCTCTCTGTGGACCAGAGACATCCCTTTTCACGCTTTCTTTCTGTCTGTGGACCATAGCCATCTCTTCTCACGCGCTCTCTCGGTGGACCAGAGGCATCCCATCTCAAGCTCGCTCGCTCTCTTTTTCAGCACCTGATCATCCCCTTTCACTCTCCGGACCAGAGACTTCTCTCTGTGGATGGATCAGATACTTCCTGCCTCTCACCCCCTCTCTCTGGAACAAAGAATCCCAATATTATGGAAACAGGTCATTCAGCCTAAACAGTGACACCAGCCCTCTGAACAGCATCCAATCCCACCTCCCCCTATTCTATGGCTAATCCACCTATCCCGTACATCGATAGACACTACGGGCAACTTATCATGGCATCCACCTAACCTGCACATCTTTGGACTGAGAGGGGAAACCGCAGTAGCCGGGGGAGCTCATGCTGACAAAGAGAGGATGTGCATCCCTTCCCACTGTCTCTGGACCAGGCGCCTCTTGCCTCTTTCCCTGAACGAGAGGTCTCCTGCCACATTATCTTTCTTTTTGGACCAGGGGTATCCCCTCTCACGTTCTTTCTCTGGGCCAAAGGGCTCTCTTGTCTTTCTCTGGGTCAGAGAGCTTACCTCTCTCTCTCTCGTACTAGATCAGAAAACTCCTCTTTCTGTCTGCCTTTACAGGACGGGAACCAGGGACGCTATCTCAATCTCTATGGGACGGGGTGAGGATTTCTTTCTGGGGTGGTGGGGGTCGGATTCCTCTAGAAAAGCCTCCTACTGCCCCGATAGGCACAACCTGGCCTAACATAGTCTGCTCCGGTCCTCACAGGGCGACAGGAGAACACCGGGTGTTGATGGACACGACTGGGCTAAAAGCCATCGCCCTCTCTCACCTTGGTGTCAACATCAGCCAGGCAGTCTCTACGAAACTCATCGAAAAGGCCGCGGCTCTTGAGGTGGTCGACGATCATGGCGATCAGGTTCGGATCGTCCGCCGCCAGTTTCTTCGCCATGGTACTCAAGCGTAGTAGCGACAGGAAAGCAGCAGTGCGCGTGCGTGCGGAACCGGCGCTGGGCCTGCTGGGAACTAGAGTATCCGCCTTCTTCGTCTGAGGCCCGCACTGCGCAGGCGCGACCAGTAGCGCCCTACTATCACTTATATTGCTGAAGCTTGCCTTTCTTTTTCGCGGGTTAGGGTTGGGAGAAGGGCTTTCGTAGTCCCAAAGAGGAGCTGGTTGACGAATGAAGTCAAGCTGATGAATTTAAGAGTCAGTTGACTGGACCCGATCACACACTTCAATACAAATTAAAATGATTGTCCCCCAGCAGGAAGATGGCCACCAAAACGCAAAAGCGCATGCGCACTTTTTACAGTGACGGCGTCCCAGGAGTTGTCAGGTTTAGGGGTGAACACTGCAACTACTATCATGAGTTTGTAAATTTTTTTGGTGACATTGTCTCTGGTTCCAATGAAAACAAGGCTGATATAGTACCTTTATAGATACCAGGCTATTTTACAGTAACCAGAAGCACCAATTTCTAAATACGTTTTCAGGCTGATTGCAATTGTCGCTGTGTTTTCTCGGATCTTACACCCAGTTTAAAATTTAATTGAAGAGATTGTTGCTGTTTCCTTTCTTGGAAACAAATTTCTGCGCAACAGACACAGCCGTTTTTGCCACACTCAGTCAACTTTCGAACTTCAACGTGCAATAGTTCTTACCTCAGGATTCCTCTCAGGAGTCAGTATAACCCCCGCAAAGAGATTTTTTGACCGTCACTAAATTTAGCAACAGCTACCTTGGATTACTAAAGGTGATATCATGTTTGACTAACATGATGGAAGTTTTGAAGAAGTAAAGGTTGATGAGGGGAATGTTGTTGATGTAACGTACATGGACTTTCAAAGTCATTTGATACAGTGCCGCGCAGCAGACTTGTGAGCAAAGTTATATCATAGAATAACAGGGATAGTAGCAAAGTAGATACAAACTGTCTATGTGATAGAAAGCCGACAGTAGTGGTTACTGGACATATTTTTGGGTTGGGGAAGGTGTGTCTTGTTTCCAAGGGGTCAGAATTGGGACCTTGCTGTTCCTGATATATATTAATAATCTGGATCTTAGTGTGAAGGGGATAGTTTCAAGGTTTGCGGATGATATGAAATTTGGAATATTGTGAACTGCGAACAGGACTCTAAAATTGGTGGAATGGACAAATAGATGATAAATGAAATTCAATGCAAAGTCCAAAACTGGAATCTCTATAAAAATGCAAAGAAATGTGAGGTGATGCATTTTGAAAGGAAGACATGGACAGGGGTACAAAATAGGGGTACAAAACTTAAGGGGGTGAAGGAGCAGAGGAACTTGGGTTTATATGTCCACAGATTAATTAAGGTGACAGGACTGATGGAGAGAGCAGTTAATAAAGGATATAGTATCCTGCATTTTATTAACATGGCACAGAGTACAACAACAAGATTATTCTGAAGTTACACAAGATATTTGTAAGACCTGAGCTGAAGTATTGTATACAGTTCTGGCACCACACAATGTGAAGGATGTGAATGCATTGGAGAGAGTGCAGAAAATATTTACAAGCATTGTGCAGGAATGAGAAACTTCAGTTATGATGATAGGTTGCAGAGATTGGGACTCCTTGCCAAGTCTCTAACTTGATAAATTGAAGCGGTATTCCAGAATACATTCACTTAACAAAAGGAACAATAGCAGACCTTTGGCTCGACAACTGTTGACCTTAGTTCTAGACTTAATCATGTGACATTTGTAAATCTCTTTGAATTGGGAGACCTTAGGGCAGTGTCTGCGGCCCAATCATCTTCAGCTACTTCGTCAATGACCTTCCCTCCATCATAAGCTCAGAAACGGGGATGTTCACCAACGATTGCACAATATTCAGCACCACTTGCGACTCCTCAGACACTGAAGCAGTCCATGTTCCAATGCACAAGATTTGGACAATATCCAGGCTTGGGCTGACAACTAGCAAGTAACATTCACGCCACATAAATGCCAGGCAATGACCAATCTCCAATAAGAGACAATGTAACCATTACACCTTGATGTTCAATGATGTTACGATCACTGAATTCCCCCACTGTCAACATCTGTGGGGATACCATTGACCAGAAAGTCAACTGGACTGCCTACATAAAGACAGTGGAAACAAGAGCAGGTCAGAGGCCAGAAATACTGTAGCAAGTACTTCACCTTCTATCTCACCAAAGCCTGTCCATCATTTACAAAGTACAAGTCAGGAGTGTGATGGAATATTCCCCACTTGCCTGGATGAGTGCAGCCCCAACAACACTCAAGAAGTTTGACACCATTCAGGACAAAGCAGCCGTTTGATTGACACCACATCCACAAGCATCCACTCCCTACACCCCCAATGCTCAGTAGCGACAGTATGTACTATCTACTAAATATACGTGCAGAGATTCACCAAAGATCTTGAGACAGCATTTTCCAAACCCCACAACCACTTCCATTTAGAAAGACAAGGACAGCAGATGCATGGGAACATCACCACCTGCAAGTTTCCATTCAAGCCACTCACCATTTTGACTTGGAAATCTATCTCCTTTATTTCACTGTCACTGGACCAGAATCCTGGAATTCCCTCCCTAGGGCATTATGCACTGATCTACAGCATGTAGACTGCAGCAGTTCAAGAAGGCTCACCACCAGCTTCTTAAGGGCAACAATGGATTGACGATAAATACTGCCCAGCCAGCGAAACCCATGCCCCACAAGTGATTTTTTTAAAAAATACCTTGGATGTCCTTTGGAGAGGACATCATTCCTGCTGAGCTTTGAATCGGTCAATTACTCAACCAGACGTCCCTTAATTGCCTGGATTCTTTTAGCAGAGGAATTGTTTCCTGCTGAAAAAAGTAATTGCCTCATAACATCATCAAGGGACCTTTAATCTCATCCATGTCCTTTTTGGAAGATGGCTAAACTATTGAAACAGGATATTCTCATCCTTGCTGTATCCTAGATTTTTGCAGCAGGAAATTTGTTCTTGACTGTGTCATAAATCTGTTGACATTGGTCACCTAAGCTTCAATGGTGGCTTTTATGCAGCCATAAGCAGACCATCATTCATCTGTAAGAACAACAGTTTATTCTCATCCTGCTAGCCAATCTGCTGAAGTATCGGAGACAGCAAGAACTGCAGATGCTGGCGTCAGAGTCAATCCAGTGTGGAGCTGGAGGAACACAGCAGGCCATGCAGCATCAGAGGAGCAGGAAAGTCGACGTTTCGGGTCAGGACCCTTCACCAGGACTGGCCTTTTGAGCCCGCTCTGCCCTTGTAGTTAAAGAATTTTGCTTGCTTGTTATGAACTCAGTCAATGGTACTGATGATTCTTCCTTGGAAAATGAAGGACTAAAATGTTCCTCTTGGACTTGTGCTGCCTCATCATGATATCAAATTTGAATTAGCCAAAATTACTTTTTGGTCAGGCTGTGTTGCTGTCTGAACAATGTCAGTTAACAAATGTGCATCAGGGGCACCGTGAAGTTAACTTTATCTCCAACCTAAAATCTTTGGTGGAGAAGGGAAAATCTTAAAATAAATGTTGCAGTTACAGGTTGAAATGGCCAAAAGAAAAACATGCTCACAAATCAAAGCAAACATTGCCATAATGAACAGACACTATGTGGCAAAGCTGCAACAGGGGAAATCAAGGAACATGGAAGTACTGTAAACAGAGGTTGCAGCATCAGGAACATCACAAAGCCAGAATTAAAATTATAAAAGGACAATTTAGGAGTCTAAACAGAAAGATTCTAACAAAGGAAGGAAATAAGGAGGCCATTGAGGCCACAGTAAGAGTGGAAGACCAATAATTGAAGCTGTGGGTGATCAGGAAGAGTTTACTAAAACCACAGAAACCAAGATTCATTTGGACGAGCCATTAATGAGAATGGGAACCTTTATTAAAATTGGAAGGCAAAGGACATTATTAGCAGCACCGCAGACAGTGTGACTCATCTAGAGAATTTTTTTAAGCAAAATGGGATTCATCTTTAAAGCCTCAAGCAGCAGTGTTTATTTAGTAAAGCTATTAAAGAAGTTGGAATCATTTATTAAGCTAGAAAAGCTAGGAAATTGTCCATTTTTTTTCATGGAAAGGGAAGAGCCCTCCATCTGAGCTGCAAAAGGTAAGAATCTTCCATTTATAACCACAAAAATACAGAAGCAAAACAACAGCACAGACAAGCAACTTACTATACTGCAGAATTAATTGCATTTAAAGCAAGGAAAATGAAGCAAAATCACTATACAGCAGCTTTAAAAGTTTCTCGGGCAAACAAAGCAAAGCATATTAAAATAGTGCAGAACTGTAAAGCTTTAACATAAGATGAATAATAATCACATTATGAAGATGTGGTAGCAGAAATAATAATGCCAGGAAGGTTTAATTTCAGAAGTGAGTGAAATAGAACACAGAATTGGATATGATTTGATGAAGCTCAAGACTCAAAACATTAGCTTGCTGTCACTCCATGGATGCTGCCTGACCCGTTGTGATTTCCAGCATTTTTTGTTTCAGTATAGATTATAGCAACTGCAGTAATTTGCTCCTACAGAATTGGATTTCTTGGGATGGGTGGGCCAAATAAAATGCAGATTGCACATTTTGGAAAAAGACAGATCTTAAGATACAGAATTGTTTCCGAGCTAGATACTAAATCTGCTGCTGAACAAGTAAATTTCATATTCAACTAGGACTATCGTTAATGGCATTTTAGCTTGCTAAGTCATAAAATATGACACAGATACTTTTGATAAAGTTCTACAAGTTTTGACAATTAGTTTAATATTAGAACAAATAAAATTCTTGAAAGCAAGTTTCTAGCAGAAGAGTTCATATCTAGGGAATCACTGGTAAATAGTGTGGGCAGCATGGTTGCTCAGTGGTTAGCACTACTGCCTCACAGCACCAGGGACCTGGGTTCAATTCCACACTCAGGTGACAATGTGGAGTTTGCA